TCTAATAGCTGTGAGTTAGTTATTTTGTAGGACTCAGGCAGCACCACACTTTTTTGGACCCAAAAACAGTCTCAAAGTTATGGTGCACAATGGAGTTAATTGATCCTTGGTTAATAACTATTTTCGATGAAAACAAAGTTGCATGCGAATCTAAATGTCCTATGTTTTCTTGGGAAAGTAGTAGTCACATGTTTAGTCCCCTTATGAGATTGTTGAAGTTAGGAGGTCGTGACATGGTTATTGGGGTGGGCTTGCTAAGTCAGTTCGGAAAGGTGACCATGGATTTTTCAGAGCATAATATTCAGTTTTGTTTTAAAGGAATGATGCTTAAATTTTTCAAGGAATTCAACCTGAGATTGCATTAAGTATGCTAATTGTGAACCACCTTAGTAAAGAGCTAAAAATGGAAGGCACCGTGGGTTTCCTATGCATTATATATGAACAAACAAGATGAGACATATGTTTGGTATCCATATATTGAGTTGTTGCTCCAGGAATTCAGCATATGTTCGAAGTCCTTACTGGATTACCCCCTAAGAAGAACATGGATCATGAAATCCCCACTAAGCCCAATATAGGACTATTAAGTAGTATGTTTATAGCTATCATATGTTTCAAATGAGAGAAATTGAGAAATTGGTAGAAGAGATATTTCAAACAGGGATTATTCGACCTAGTAGAAGCTTTTACTCCTCACATATGCTACTAGTTAAAAGGAATGATGGTTCATTGACGTTTTGCATCAATTATTGAAAACTCAATGCAGCTACAATTAAAAATAGCTAACTTATTCCCTTGTTATATTATTTATTGGATGAGTTAGGGGAAAAACCATTTTTTCAAAGATAGATTTAAGGTTGGATATCATCATATCAGAAGCATGATGAGGATATACCTAAGACAACATTTGTAATTGCCTCAAAATTGTATGAGTTCGTTGTAATGCCTTTTGGACTCACAAGTGCACCAGCCACCTTTCAAGCAGCCATGAATCAGATTTTTAAGTCTTATTTGAAATATTTCATCTTGATTTTCTTTAATGATATACTCATTTATAGCTTGAACATGGCCGAACATTTGAAACACTTAAGGCGGTGTTTAATATTCTGTCTCAGCATACCTTGTTTTCCAAAAAATCAAAGTGCAGTTTTGACAAGGCAGAGGTTGAGTATTTAGGGCACATAGTAAGGAATGGGTGTGTACATATGGATAAGTCCAAGATCCAAGCAGTGTTAGATTGGCCTACTTCATCTATTGTTTTAAGGCATTAAAAAGGTTCTTGTTCTTGGGCCTCACTGGATACTTCATGAAGTTTATTCAATATTATAGAGTGATTGTTAAGGCCTAAACTGATCTAACAAAAAAAGGCAAGTTCGTGTGGTCTTCAAAGGCTGAAGCTGCCTTCCAACTGCTAAAAGTACAATGGTTACAGCTCTAGTTTTAGCCTTACCTGGCTTCACCAAACCTTTCATTGTGGAGACCGATACATCTTACTAAGGTTTAGAAGTTGTTCTTATATAGGACTAGCACCCTTTGACTTTCTTAAGCAAGGTCTTAGATCCTAAACTTTTGGGGTTATCAATATATGATAATGAAGTTTTAGCCATTATATTGGATATGGAGAGTTGAGGTCTTATTTACTTCATTTCCCACTCATTATTAGAACGGACCATAAGAGCTTGAGATACTTGTTGGAATAGAAAATCTCAATGCCATTGCAACATAAGTATTTGACTAAACTTCTGGGATTTGATTACAATATTGACCACAAAAAAAGAACTGAAAATTAAGTGGTTGATGTGATGTCTAGAGTTCATATTTCAGATTAAGAAGAATTAGTTGAAGGAGAGTGTTCAACTATTAGTGTCTTTAAGCCTATATGGATGGGTGAAATTATCAGTAATTATAATATTGATTTGTTTCTCCAAGACATACTAGCTGAGTTGGTCACCTTGCTCTACAATATGGCTTTATACAACTATGATGAGAGGCTATTGAGGCACAAAGGCAAGTTGTTGGTGGGTTGTCCTGGGAATCTAAGGAATCACATTTTGAAAAAATTCCACAACTCCTATGTGGGGGGAGGGGTCATTTAGGGATTAATGTTACATTCAAAGGGTATCCAGTATGTTCTGGTGGCCAGGAATAAGGCAATATGTACAGACTTTTGTTGCCTCTTGTCAGGTGTGACAAATGAGTAAACATGAAAATAACGAAATTTCGGTTTGCTACAGCCCCTACCAGTTTCATAACAGGCTTGGACTCATATTTTCATGGATTTTTTTGAGCAATTATCTAAATCAGCCAACAAAGACACTATTTGAGTGATTGTTGATAGATTCATCAAATATGCTCACTTTGTTGCCATTGGTCATCCATTTAAAGCTTCAAGATTTTCCCAAGTTTTCTTACAATCTATCTATAAGTTGCATGGCTCTCATCACAGTGTCATTTCTGACAGAGACAGTTTTACTAGTCAATTTGGCAACAGATATTTAAGGTGTTGGAATTAAGTAGAGGTTAAGTGCTGCATACCATCCACATATTGATGGACAAACTAAGAGATTAAATTAGTGCTTAGAGTCTTACCTCAAGTGCATGTGTGGTTCTAATCCTAATTAGTGGTTTAACTGGCTTCTTATGGAAAAATTGTGGTATAATACTTCCTACCACACTCAATGGGTACCGCCCCATTCACGTATTATATGGTTTTCATCCTACACCATAGCTCTTTGGACCTATACCTTCTACCAATGTGGATGGGGTTCACGATCAACAACAAGCTTAGCACCTACTCAAGCAAGCCCTATTGGCAGCACTATCTCGTATGAAATATTATGTAAATTCTCATTGATGTGAACACGAATTTGAACAATGAGAGTTGGTTTACCTCAAGTTGATACCCTATCGCCAGCTTTCACTTCACTCCAAGGATGTTTGGAAGTTGTGCCCCAAGTACGTTGGCCCATTCAAGATCTTGGCTTGTGTTGGTCATGTCGCCTATTGCTTACCCATCTTTGCTCTCATTCATCCAGTTTTTTTCATCTCTCCTTTTGAAGAAACACATCGGCCTGCCATCTGATGTCACTATTTGTTTGTCTATTTTTTATGATTATGGGAGAATTTTGTTGCAAACAATCAAAATTTTCGCCTGTTGTTTGGCCAAACAGGAATCCTTCACCGGCAACTCAATTCCAAGTTCAGTAAGCTCACATTCCTGAAGAATAAGCTACTTGAAAATCTTTTAAGATTTTAACTCGTGCTTCCTGATTTTGCAACTTGAGAACAACTCGCGTTCTAAGGGGAAGTATTGTCATGAAGGAAAAGAAATGCATCATATTAATAAATGTGTGATTATTATAAATACGTTTTTAAAATTGTAATTAGAGTATAAATAGTGTATTGTACTGTAAAAGAAATTGGTCAAAAATAATATGTGAGTTACTTGTCTTATTCTTTTCTTTTTTTTTTTTTTAATTTTTTTATAAAAATTTTAAAAAAACAAAAAAAAAATCTATCAATTTTTTAAAGATTTAGATATGATAATTGCAACAAAATCTGATTTATTATTTCATCTCAATTAATTGTACATACTAGGTTTTTCATTGAGTATGATTCCTATTAATTCCTTAATATTTGTAGGTGAAACACTAAAAGCGTAATGACTTCGAAGTCAAGTTGAGTGGAGTTGCTTCTGGGATTTGTCCATCCCTGTCCTTACTTTTTGTTTTTTTCTCCCCCACCACCCACCCGGCCACTGTTAGGTTACGCTCAATAAAATAGTACTCCCTACATCCCAGTTACCATGTTCATCTTTATATTTACGTATGTTTCATTTATTTTGTTTTTTTAAAAAAAGAAAAAGAATAATACACTTTAATTTTATTTTAAATTTTTAAATTTATATTTTTAAAATGATAGGATAATTTTTTTTTAATATATTTTAAAATATTTACTAATTATATTCTTTATAAATTTCAGTGTCCATAGCAAATGGGACAATGGACGGATGGAATATACACTAATACACATTCGAATCCAACGTTGAGTTATTTTATTACACGAATCAAATCCAAAACGAAACCCCATTTGAAAAGTCCTCCGCCGGCACCGACGACGTAAGCACCTGAGAAAATTCCAAAATACTACTTAAGTATTATATACAATAATAACAATAATAATAATCAACCTACCCCTGCGTACGTATGCGCGTTCATTCTTTGTCGGTTTTTGAATTCAAACCAAACCCACCCCCATTCAATTCTTAGTTTGCTTCCCTGCCAATTTGGTGCCATACCATATCATGTCAATAAAATTAAACTACAAGTACATATATATATATATATATATATATTACGCGTACCCAAGATCCAGTCTTGCTTAATTGCCAGGATAGGAATAGGAATAGGAATAGAACAGGACCTCTTATTTTGATAATAGTAGTCAGCCTCCCCATAACCCAACTTGTTACTTAACAAACATTTTACTTACGTAACGCTTTAAACATAGTTTTTTCCCAACTGATCTGTGGGCTGCGTCAACTTGGTTAGGTAGGTAGTGAAAGATTACAAGGCTGGTCTTCCATCTGTTCAAGAAACTCTTTTGGTTGTAATCCATTCTTCATCTTGTTGCAAAAAACAAGATTCCAATCGAATTAGATTCACTTTAGTTTCCAATGAAATGAGGGAGACACTACTAGTACTTCACCTGTGTAGGAGATTCATATTAATAACATTCATGGTGTGCAGCAGCAGCAGCAGCAGCCTCAGCCACAGCCACAGCGTTTGGGCTCTCGACGGCGAAGGTAGGTCACTGTGTACATATGTACGTATGTATATGAATGATCATCTCTCTTCTATTGTGTTATTGCAGCAGCAGGGCGACAGTTACTGCAACTCGAAGCTCCTGTAAGAAGAATACCGCCGTTGCAATTGCACTTCCCCCCACAACCACCACCGAACTTACCTCCTCCGTCGTCTCCCACTGTCCGGCCACAATCTATTCCTACACCTGCCCCGGCCCCGGCCCCTTCGCCTTCATATGTCAATGTTCCTACATCATCACCTCCGGCTGCAACGCAAGCAGATGAAAAATCAAGAACATCTCTTGCAATCATACTATCTGCAGCCATTGGAGGCTCTGTACTGCTCCTACTTTCAATCGCCGCCATCTTGTGCTATCGAAGTGGCAGAGTCGCGGCAGTGAAGCCGTGGAGAACGGGATTAAGTGGACATCTTCAGAGAGCATTAGTAGCTGGTACTTTTACTTCACATGCGCAGCCGAGTGCTTGATTTGCTCGATTTCATTTAACTTAGGGAGGATAGATGTTTTTGTTGTCTCAGGGGTACCGAAGCTCAGGCGATCTGAACTCGAGGCTGCTTGTGAAGACTTCAGCAATGTGATCGGTTCTTTATCGGTTTGTACTCTGTATAAAGGCACATTGTCCAGTGGCGTCGAGATAGCAGTTGCTTCTATCGACACGGCGTCTTCGGCTGAATGGTCGAGCAGCGTCGAATCCCAGTTCAGGACAAAGGTAACTATCTATCTGTCTATCTTTTAACTCTATTTCGCCAAAGACTCGATACTTTTTACCACATTTCACATGTGATCTTCGTCGTCTCAGATTGATACACTGTCGAAGGTGAATCACAAGAACTTCGTAAGCCTGATTGGATACTGCGAAGAAGACGAGCCTTTCACTAGGATGATGGTTTTCGAGTACGCCCCCAATGGAACTCTCTTCGAGCATCTACACAGTGAGTATTATATCCAATTCTTTCCATCGAAGAACTCGTAGCAGAGATCAGTTCTTTATTGTTACCTTGCTTCATTTTCGTGGCAGTAAAAGAAGCCGAGCATTTGGACTGGGCCGCACGGCTGCGAGTGGTGATGGGAATCGCGTACTGCCTCGATCACATGCACCGGATGACACCACCATTATCCCACAGAAACTTGACCTCTTCGTCCATTTACCTAACCGAAGACTACGCAGCCAAAGTATCCGACGTCATATTTTGGGACAAAGGTCCTGCAGTCGAGCGCCCCTCCACTCCCCCAACCGACGTGTACAGCTTTGGCGTTCTGCTGTTTGAAATAATCACCGGAAAGCTCCCATACTCGTCTGGCGATGATTGGCTCGAGGACTGGGCATTTGATTACCTTAGGAGTGTGCAATCCCTTACCGAAGTGGTCGATCCAACTCTGGGAACATACAGAGATGATCAGCTTCAGCAGCTTAAGGGAGTGACAGAGTCCTGCACTAATCCTGACCCGCGGCAACGGCCATCTATGGCTGATGTTTGCACAAGGCTGAGGATGATAACAGGGATCGGAACTGACAGTGCCGTTCCTAAGTCGTCGCCTCTCTGGTGGGCAGAAGTTGAGATACAGTCTACTGAGGCTGGGTAAAAATTGAACCAAGGTGACAGATATACAGATGAACTAAATTACTGTAATTATTTTACTGAAAATTTCAATATGTTTTGAGGTATATAACAAGGCATGACCATGTAAGTTCAGCAATAATATTTAAGAACCTTCCTAGAGAGCTTAGAACTTGGTTTTACCTCTTAAGAGCTTCTCAGGAAGATGACTGCAGCCAAACCAATGATTCATCAGTTCAGGGGTTTCCTGCATGATTTCTTCAAGATAAATGTATTTAAAATGTAACCCAGGATATGAAAAAACAATGTAGAAAGTGAGCAAGAGAGTACAGGCTGACTAAAACAGAGCCAGCAAGCTCCAGGACAGAAGCACAAATATATCCCTAAGAGGTTCAGAGTTCCATTGGCATTGCAAACATTTTGTTGATTTCATCAATTGCCTCTTTAGTGCACATAGTTTGTTCAAACAAATCGCTTTCTTTTCTGGTAGACGAGCTCGTGAAGGATTTCCCTTGTGGATTATCAAATTCATCGTCGGGGAAGATTAAAAAACCTGACCGATCATTCACCATGTCATTGGGTGCTTTGTCCTGATCCAGGGAACCATGTTTTGTAGTAAAACCTTGTGGTATCAGGGATTTGTTGTTGATGTCATCTTTTCGCTGAATGGTTTGCGGTTCATCATCGGGGAGTATCATAAAGTCCGCACAATTGTTTTTCACATCAGGCACTCTGTTGTGTTTTTTTGATCGGCCTTTCCTTGCATATTCTATTGGCTTTCCAAACATGCTGTTGATATCATTCATGGCCTCCTTGAAGTTAATTGTCGGTTCTACAAGGCCGTGGTGCCAAACATTTTCTACCTCTGGTTCCTCCAAGATAGTTGATCCTACAAACCGAGAAACAACTGTATCCTCCCAGAGTCCAGCCTGGTGTGATCTCCTAGGATTTGTAGCTCGAGAACACTCTGAACGGATATCATTCGGTCGAGCAAAGACAGATGCATGTTCACCTTGCACACTAGATGTGCTTGGATTGGAGGACTTCTGACCTTGCACACCTTTCTTTGTGCATTCCTCTTGATCATTTATTTCCTCACTGTCGACATAAATAGCGAATGGTCGGTCCAGTGGTTGAGCTACATCTCTTTCATATGTGGGATTTGATGGATTCTTCAATGAAGCATGGTCTGTTACTACAGATTTGGTCTCTGTGCTCTCATCAGAGTAGACCTTGAATCCAGTATTTGAGTTGTTACCGGTTTTGGACTGACTCCGTCTTGCTCTACCACCAATTGATGGCTCCAAAGGCTGTTGGAACATGCTGTTGATGACATTCATGGCTTCCCTTGTATTAATGGTAGGTTCCACCAGGCCATGATGCCGAGCATCTTCTGCATTAGATTTCCCAATAATGGCACTGTCTACTAACTTAACAAAAACTGTATCCTCGCTACAACCTTTAGTATCCTCCTCTTGCTTTTCTTCTTCCTCGTTTACAGAATCGCTCACATGTGCCTTTTTCACAAGTTGATCATTGAGTATTCCAATATAACCAGACTTTGCTTCCATTGGTCTCTGGTTAGCTTCTTTCACAGGTACCTTCTCATTTTCAATATCAGCAAACTTAGCTTGTGTTTCAGGCACATACTCTTTATTACATGATCGCGCAACCTGTTCGGGTTTACAATTCAAAGCTCTTCTGTTTGATAACCTAGCCTGTGTCTGAAGATGTTACCCATGTTTAGGATTAACAGCAGAATTCCTACAAACAAAGCAAGTGTAATGTGCATGATGTTGATTAAAAATACCTGAGCTCTTTTGTTCTTATGTCGCTGCATCCGGTGAAGAAACTGTTCATATGACTTCTGCAACTCGTCAGCAGGTTCAGCAAGGCTATAAAAGCGGGAAGAAATATGGAATTTAACAAGGTGGATGACTAACTGTATTATATCATGATATCAAAATATATATAGAACACTCTGCTTTGTTTGCACACCAACTTTCACCCATTTGGCATTATTTATTCACCTTTGGTAAAATATCACATCAAATACACTTGTTTTCTCACAAAACATCAAATCAAAATATTAACTTTTTACTTTTTCCAAACTTCCAAAACTCCAAAAGTTTCTTTCTAAATGGAGTTCATATTTTTATAAAGCACAATATACGATGATCTTGTTCAAATACTACTTATAGCCCAAATCAATTTTGAAACCATTTATCATAGCTATAGCAGAATTTCACTAGGTTCTGGATTCTAATGGCATGAAGAAATTTGCCCAAAAAAAATTTAAAAGCAGAAGATAAACATAAGGAATGACTAGGTCCCTATGAACAATGTGAAAGGCATCAAAGATAGAAACTGCAACTCAGATGTTTATTTGATATTTTATTCCTTATGCAACAAATGAAAACTCATTATGGATGCATCTGAAACCATTATTATAACAAGCTTAATAATATCCTAGCAACAACGTTCGTATTACAATAAAAAACATAACGCCTTACTTCTGGACGCCCATATGATAAATCCTCTCAGCTGCATCAAACTTCTTTATCTTCTCATAGTAGAGAGCATATGCCTGGTAAAACAAAGACTTCTTCATCCCAATCCGATTCATTTCCATTGTTCTCAAAACAGCCTTTGGATCATCAACGAAGTCCAGCTACAATATGCATACAGCCATACAAGATGAGTAAAATTGTTGGAAAAAAAGTGAACCAAGATAACTTGTTTGTGTGAAAAAAAAAAAAAAAAATGACTAAAACACACAGAACAATGCAGGAGGAGATTTATTCAACTCTACATCTTCATTTTCTTGGGTACAACAGGTATTAATAGTTCTTAATGCATACACTACTATATTACCATTTCTTTTATCAGGCACAAAACTCAACTAAATGGCATCGGTAACTCTTGCAACCTTCAGAGCTCAATTAAATTTCTTAGAGTAATCCTACTAGTTTCATCTGTATCACCATCAATTCTGCTAATTAAACATACAGAAACCTCTCTTGATAATAGATAGAATAATCAGCAGCAAGCATTACCATATAAGAAATACAAAGTATATCTATCCGCTCCCTAATCCTACTCCATACCTCAAAACAAACCTAACTATAGACATTGCCTCGTTCAACGAGGATTACAGATCACCAATGCACAAAAACAAAGTATATTGAAGACAAAACAAAACGAGAATCTCAGCCAACAAACAACATTGAACACATATAACACTTTATTTATCGCCATAAATAAAGGAAGAAATACCAATTGCAGCCAAACGCGAAGATAGCGCATATCATTACTGTAGCGGCCGTCCGTCAGGAACGCCTCCGCGCATTTCTGAAGAAACCGAGGTAGCTTCTCCTTCATAAGCTGCGGAGGCAGAGCCTCCTTCATCTTCTTCACCCCACTACCGAAAAAACACAAAATTTAAACAGAAGGAAATCAATCAGCAGTAGCGAATCCATCAAACACAGAACAACAGAGAGGAGTTAAAATACTTACCGGAGCCAAGGAAGGAGAGGATCGCTCCCATTATAAGATCTAATATCGGAAATCAGCGAGGCGAACAGGTTATCATAGAGACCATTGCCGTGGTTGGACATCGGTTGAGTATCTTGGTTGCTGCAGGATGGATCTGAAATTGTAACTCTTCTTGGGAAAAGCTTCCGTTGGGGTTGGGAAGCCATTTTAAATTTGATTTGGGCGGTACTTATTGGATATTGAAATAAATTTCTCAAAAATATTAATTTAATGGACAGACCAAATTTTAAAAAAAAAATAATAATAAAAAAATATATATATATATACAAATGATTTAATTTAAAAAGTCAATTAATGAAAGTCTATTGTTTCACGATCATAAGTCCAACCTCCACACCATCGGACCATCCCTCACTCTTCAAACTATTGATGATATTGTTTGTGGTACAATTGATTTAACATTAGATCTCAATTAAATATATAAAATATGAATATTATTTTGTAAAGAAATAAAATCTTATATAATACAAATAGATACAAAATATATTTATTTATTTATCATTAGCAAAAATTAATTTTATAAAAAAATAGAGAGTTTTAAACATAAATATATATATTTGTTAATTGAAGACAGATACAGACTTAAAGGTGTTTTGAATGAGTATTACAAATTTAATTTAATTGATTTATATTTGTTAAGTGTGTTTAATATTGATAAATTTATAAAAAAATAAAGGGTCATCCGCAATACATTTCTTAATTATACTTTACTTAAATTATTATATCTATATTAACGGACACATATTATCCGAGAAAGGAGGGAGTAAAAATGAATTAATTATGGTGTGTTTCTTTTGGCGAATTCAAAAATTTGTCAATGTTTTGTCAATATGTGGTTTAGAGCATCTGCATCGAGGGGTTCTTTCCCCTGCAGAAATCTCCACGTCAATGCCACATCTTTTGGAGAGTGAGGGATGGTCCGGTGGTGTAAAAGTTGGATTTGTGACCGTGAAGTTGAGAGTTATTTTTTTCAATAAATGTTGTGTTGTGTATTATATATATATGCTTATTAAATTTTAACTATGTGTTGGTTATATATATTTATGTACTAGAATAAATTATCTATGTGATTTTATTATTACGTTAAATTGATATTACTCGTGTGCTATTTGTATTTATATATTTTGTTAACTAACTATTAATGATATGTTGTATGTATCTACGTATATAAGAATATTTTAATATTCTAATTTTTTATCAATAATATTGAATAGATGTAACATGTGTAATCTTTGTATATATTGTTGATTAGATATTAAAAATATATTACTTATATTTAAATTACTAAATGGCATGGATCCTCAACCCCTTTAGAGTAACTGTAATGGCAAAATAAAATATTGCCTTGTGCCGCCACTGTGTCCAGGCAAGAAAATTGTACTTTGGATAAAAAGCAGTTTATATTATGCAATAACTTTAATTTAAAGATCTAATTTTATAAGATATACGTAAGAGAAAAAAAAAATTCATTTCTTCAACACCAAAAGTTCTTCCCCATATTCTTCTCGATCGAATGCAATTTTCAGTAAAGTTTCCTTCTCCATCAATAATTTCGCCTCTAGAGCTCTGGGGACGGCCAATTTCTCAAAAACCCTCTCTTCCTCCCTTTGCATTTCAATTATTTGTGCTAAACTCGACTCGCTTTTGTCTTCGATTATGCTCGAGGTTCAATTTGAAGTAAGTCGATTTGGTCATTACTATTTTTTGGGAGCGTGACAAACATGATTTTATTGTTGTTTGGTGAAAAAAAGTTTTAAATATTAAACCCTACAAAATTTTGACGAGGAAAGATTATAAACTATGAGATCTCGTCATGATGCATGGAATATTGATAAGTTAGTCGGGACATTTTTTAGTAATATATTTCGGGTATGGTTTTAATCATTTAACGATAAGTATGATATTTTTCTTGATATTTTAGCATTGCCCATACGATCCAATAAACTGAACTTGTAAAGCTGTTCTTTGGTTGCTTGAAGGGTGACGAGAATTTATTTGTGTCTCACCCATTACTTTTTTGGATTTATGGGTATGTGGTTATTCAGCATCTTGTGTTTTGGTCAATTCATTTCATAAGGTGGGTTGGGCTTGTTTATAATGAGAAATGTATAAAACTTCAATTATATTGTTTTGGTTCTGTTTCTTATGTTTTTGGTTGAGTTGTTATTGACATTGTAGCATTTTACACCTTCCAATCAACGAAATATGTTTTAAACCATCTCTTATTTGCATATCTTTGTTGTTGGCTTCTTGTTGTTATGATGATGTTAAATAGGTCTAACCATCATTGTTTTATTAGATTAATAAGTTGCTTTCAGCAAATCACCAATGAAAACGGATACCTTCTGATATTGGAGAGCAACATCATCTGAATTAAAAACTTCTTTGTGGATGTGAAAGCATTAAATTGCATGTATAGTGTCGCAATAACATCCCTTATCCTACAGGATTAATCATAAAAATTATGTGCCCATTCCACAAGATTTGGCGTGTTATTGGCAAAGATAGAAGCTTCATTAAGAACGTAAGGCAATAGAATTGTGCTCTTATTTAGGCTGACTATCTCAAGGGCAATCATAAGGAATGTATTGTTTCTATGCTCTCGACAGAGGTAATTCTATAACTCTTGCAAATATATTTATGGCATGGATACAATTTTGTAGATTTCTATAGTTAATATGTGTTTGCTTTGCCCGTGTAGTTTTTAATACTTGCATTTATAATTATAGTAATGAATATCACACAGTTTTCTATGTTACAAAGATAAGTCCCTTATTAAGGCACGGCGTACATGTACGAGTCTCTTCATATGCATATATGTTTGAGTTAGATAAATTTATCTACTCTCTTGATGGTTGTTTTTAAATACAATGGAGAAAAATATATGGATTGTTAATTGCATTGTGTTATTTTAAGCTACTAACTTTAGTTTGGTAGTAGTACCTTCCCATTGTTACCAAATGATATGTGTATAGTGAGTCTTATAAGTTATATGATCAACATAATTCTTGATTCAGTTACCTGATTTTCATTTCTACATGTCAATTTCTTGACTTTTGCTACTAATTTTATAGTTGGTCCTGCACAATTCACGTAGTTTGATTGTGCTTTGACATCTACGTGTTTTATATAAAAATAAAATGAATTTTTACCCTATATTTTTCAAAAAATACAATCATGACGGACATAATATTTGGACAGAGAATTGATGAGGTGGTTGATTTAGTGGATATATCTCAAATAAGTAACAAGCACCCGCTAATGGTAAGTAACGCGGCTTCATGTACCCACAATACCCCAAATCTGCCTACACATCAGCATACTTTCCCAAGCCAATACGATATGAGTTTTAGTGGTCCTTTCTCTCATATTCAATACTACCCTCAACAAAGTGATCCCATGTTATACACAAATATGTGAAACTTTATACTATTCGGGGGATTAGCTCAGACTTCTTCTGATAAGACGTGGGCATCACAAGTGAACATATCACCCTTCAATGCTAATTGTCCATCGGTACTGTGTCAAGTTCCTTCACAATGCAATCCCAGTGTAAGGCCCACATAAACAAACCAGCGTGAAAATAAGAATTTGAGCCTAGTTGGGGATGTAGAGTTGACAACCGCATGGTGTAGCATGACTACAAATTCACGAGTTAGGGTTGGGGAAAAAAGACAATGGCTTTGGAAGCGTGTCTATGAGACTTTTGTTGTACTTATAGAAGAAAATAAATGAGTCAATAGATTATAAAATAAGATAACACCAGTAGGATGTGAAAATTGGTGGATGAAAATTCGATCCCAATATACTAAATGGTCGGCCATCTGAGTTCAGGTGCAACTAAATTATTGGAGTGGTTGGAGCCCATCAAAATAACAATATGGTTTTTCCTATGATGCCTGGAGAAATAATAACTTGTATTAATCAAGATATAACTAAAGATCCATCTCAATAGCAAGATTACGAAGACAACCTTTTGATTGTTGTACCAAATGGAATGCCTACTTAGACGTAGTTTTGAAAAAAAAAAAAAATGCGTCCATTATGTTGCTTCGTAACCTCAATCTATCAAATGGATTACCAAATGGTACTAGATTGATGCAATACCAAAATGGTACTAAATCCATCACATGAAATGCAATACCAAAATGATGCAGGCTTGCAAGCCCTAGGAGTAGATATTGCACCTGTCCAAATCAAAGAAACCCCGCATGTATTTCTATAAACACAAAATATTTTAATACACTCCTTACAAAAATTTCTAACCACCTATAATTTTGAAATTGCAGAGTTTGAATATTGATGCCCAACCGACACACATGGTACCTTTTTCAAACTCAATATAACAAGCATTGTCTGACACATCGTCGCTAAAAATACAAAAGTTAACAATGGTTTATCTTGACAGCTTAACTAATGTTTTCGTGAGGCTTCGGAGGATGTACAGTTCACAACATAACATGATGGAGATTCTTGAAAAATTGTTAAAGAAAGTGATTGAATTGAAAATAGATGTAGCAAGATGGCTTCAAGATCTTGAATTTCACCAGTCCACATTTTCAGTTGTTGAACTTGAAACAATCGCCACCTCTCTTGAAAAAGCAGAACAAGACCTTTCATTTTCTAAAGTTCATTAAAGTTCTATTGAATCAGAAGAACAAAGAATGACAAGAGAAATAGAGTTACGACGTGAAGAAATTCAACGAATTGAAGAATACCTCAGAAAAAAGAAAGTTGAGCTAAAGCAACTCTCCATAGACTCCACAGCCCTCCAACAAGAAAAATACAAAGCAAAGAACACATTGGTAATCATGGAAACTTCCAATGACGAAATCCAACAAAAACTTGAAATGACTCTAGATTTACATGAAGTGAACATAGTATTGCTAAATGTTGCAAGAGCCCACATAGGCAATCTCACTCAAATATGGTTGGATGTAAAGAGCATTATTGATAATTAAAGAAATCTTGTTTATTAATTATTGATAGAATTTCTTGATTGTTTTGTAACCCAACTTACTTTTAATCAAAATATGCATACATACAAAGATACATTATACAACTACATTATGAAATTTAATTAAAGCATAATCTCAATTGAAAACATTATAAAAAAAAAAAACAAT